GCTTTCGCGCAATGTGTAACATCTGGGCTGAGCGCACACCCCCCTGCTGGTTTATGTATGCAGCAGTCACCTTGTTGTCTGTGTGAATCAACACGTGTTGATTCTGTAGCACGGGAGCAAAGTGTTGAATCACGTTCAGCACCGTGCGACACTCCAAAACATTTATGTGGGCTGATGTGTGATGGGGCCACAGCGCCCCTACTGCTTGAGATAGGCATGTCCCCCCCCAGCCTGACAGCGACGCGTCCGTGAAGACTGACACGTGTGACGTGGGTCTGCTGACGGGGACTCCCTCCGACAGAACCAGGGTGTTTCCCCAGTGTCGGAGGTCTGCTCTCACGGAAGGAGGAACAGTGATCATCCGTCTCTTTTGTTTTACTGGGTCCACACGCAGACACACAAACCACCTCTGGAGGCATCTCATGTGTAATAAACCCAGCGGGACAACTGTGTGAGCTGATAACATCGTTCCTAACAGCTTCATGACAGACAGCTGTTACCACTCTGCCAGGTCTTACGTGGCGGAGCTGGTCTTTTAGAGTGTCGATTCTCGTTTTGTGATAAACGAGCCTTCATGGTGGTTGAATTGAACTCCACTCCCAGATAAACAATTGTCTGGGCCGGGAAAATCTAGCTATTCTTCCAAATTATGGCGAAGCCCAGATTTAACAGGTGTGATGTCAACACCTGAGCCTGCATCACTGCTTCCTGTCTGGAGCGTGACAGCAGCAGCAGGTCGTCCAGGTAAAACAAAACTCTAATCCCTGCTCTGTGTAACGGATGCAGGGCTGTCTCCACACACTTTGAAAACGTACGAGGCGCGAGGGAATAACCGAACGGCAGCCAGTTGTACTGATACTTCATCCCCTGAAAGGAGAAATGCAGGATATTTCTATGTTTTGGGATGATCGGTATGTGAAAATAAGCATCTTTTAGGTCGACGGAAACAAACCAGTCGTTTCTCTGGATGTTGTCCAACAGCTGTCTGGTTGTCAACATGTGAAACGGTCTGTCCATGATCGCCTTGTTGAAAGCTGACAGGTCCAAAATCGGTCTCATCCCTCCGGTCCGTTTGGGAACCAGGAAGTAACGTGAGTAAAACCCTGTGTTTTCCTCTCCGTTGGGAACCTTGGAGATTACTCCTTTTATCAGAAGCTCTTGGACTTCTGCATTTAGGGATGAGATTTGGTCTGGTGATGAAAGGACCGTCTCTAAAACTCCTCCGAACAGAGGGAGTCGGGTTGCAAACTGCAACGTGTAACCTTTGCATAACACCCTGACCCAATCTGTCTGGCGAGCATGTTTTTAGCCACTCCGCGTAACGTTCGTGGAGTGGACGTGCGTTTAAGTGATGCATCATGTTTTGTACGGATGTCATCCAGTCCGCCGCCTCGACCGCCGTCATGCGTCGCGGGAATGTTTTCCACGTGACCCAAGGCGAGGCTTCCTCGAAAGGGCTCTGAACGTGCCCGTGTGCTGCGTTCGGACCGCGGACCAACCTTCATGTCCAGGTGGGCCGGTGTGTGCTGAGGCGAAGCGTGTGACAGCTGATGACGACGTCGCTGTGCGATGCTGAGAGGCCGAGAGCGCGACTTCATCTACGCCGTGCTGTTGGAGTGAAGGCTGCGAGCCCCGCGGGAGCACACGTTTTCTCTGGTGGGACGCGCACCGCTCTCGCTGGAGGCGAGACTCGTCACTGGGTTCGTTCAGCTGTCTTACGCTTATGCTGCCGTGAGCGGCCGAGCGCTGAGACGCGGTGGGTGAAGGCTGCCCGCGTCGCGGCCGCACACGTTTGCTTCGGTGAGACGTGTGTCGCTCTTGCTGAGAACGAGGACCTTCACCGGACCCGGCCTGCGGTCCCACATTTATGCCGATGTGAGTCGGTGAGCGCCGGGGAGCTGTGTGTGCACCATCATCAACGCAGCGCCGTTTGGATGAAGGCTGCATCGCGCGAGTGCGTGTTTGACACCGCTTGGGTGAGGATCGTGCAGCTCGTGTTGACAACGAGTTATTTCGCTTACCATCGTGTCGTGTGAGCGTCTCGTCATGTCTTGGAGCGACGGTGAGTTTAAAAAACCTTTATTTAAGGACACCGGCTCGTTATGTATGGAGGATGTGTGCGCAGCCGCTTTGAGTTCATCCGAGCTTAAAGACTGGCTAAAAACAGACACTTTGATCATTGAATGATGATTTATTTCAACTTTCGTGTCACTTTTACACACACCCTCTGCAGACCGTCATTTTTTAAATCTACTCCCCCGTGAGTTCTGCGATTTGTTGGCCCAAGGCGCCGTCTGCAGGCGATCTCTGGGGAAACGCTGAACTGCTGGTTGCCGGGATGAAGAGGGCTGGTCTCTGACGGGCAGGGCTGGTGGTGGAGCTGAGCGAGACGACGCCGCGGCGGCCGTGGAACATCGTTGCTTCTGCCTCTGCTCACGATGGTCTCTCCAGCGGGCCGGGGGGCGGGATGAACCGCGCGGCTTGATGAGGTGGCACACAGCCTCTGACACCTCCTCCGACTGCTTCGAGTTCGCCAGCATGGCTTTGAAGCTGCTCCCGAACAGCGCGTCCGCCGTGATGGGGCCCTCCATCAGGTCTCTGTGCAGTTTCTCCGGCAGCGAGGGGGAGTGACGAAGCCAGGTGGATCGCTGAATCATCGTCATCCACGCTGCAATCCTGGACAGGCAAACCGCAGAAGAGGCACACATGTTGAGGATGGCATCGGCTGCCTTACAGAGGGAGCTCTTGGTCTCCTCAGGCAGGTCTGCGGCCTCCCGTCTCTTGGACACGCTGTATGCTAGCAGCGCCACGTTGTTGTTAGCTGCGGCTGCCTGAAAAGCACATTGATGAGCTCGATTGGAGAGCGTGGTCACCGTCTGGTCGTGTTTCCCAGGAGGGACGGGACGCTGCTCCAACCTGGACAGCTTTGCTCCGAAAGCTTCCGCGAGGCTAGGCTCAAGGGGGGGGTACCGAGGGATAGCCCCGCTTGGTGAACCCCTCCACTCTGGTGATGGGAGCGAAAGTGGAGACAGGCGCTCTCAGCTTACCAGGACCGGCTGCGGCCTCGTTCCAATACGACGTCACCGCTGGAAAACGAGGCCAGATGGGATCAGGACGGCGAGCCGGCGTGGAGCCAAACCTTCCCGCAAGATCATCCGATCTGGGTGGGGGGGTAAGGGAACGGAAAGTCCCTTCATGTCAGCAGCTTCCCGGATAATGACGGGCAACTCCAAAAGGAGTGCGCCGATGGCAGGGAGCGATGTGGCCGTTGAGGCGGGAAAGCCCGGAGGGGTCGAGCATCCGCTTGGCCCCCTTCGTTCCAACACTGCGCTCCCCGGGAGGGAGCGAGCATCGGGGCTGCTGCTAACGTCACCAGTCCCAGAGGAACCATCCGATTCGCTCCGAGAGCCGGCGTCGAAGAAATCCATCGCGTCGTCCAGCGAACAGTCTCCCGCCACGGACAGGCAGTCCTCGATGTTAGCCTTAAACAAGGCTGCTCTCCTCTGCCTTTCCTCCGGTGGAAGATCGTCACAGAGGCGGCAGGAGGAAGCACGGGCGACGTGACGGGGACCCAGGCATCCCTCGCAGGTGTCGTGCCAGTCAAAGCTAAGCAAGTAACCGGTCTTGCAGGATGGACACAAGCAGATGGTGTTGGAGCTGGACATCTTGTTGAAGGTCAGTGTTGTTAGCTTGCTGAAGAAAAATGGGAGCCGATTACCCGCTCTTAATGTAATTTATACGGATCGGGTGGGGCCCACACAGCAGGTGGGCGTGGACTAAATTTTTTCAGTGTGATGCTTCGCATAACGGGATAAACCCACTAAGCGACAGCCTTAAAGGGCGAAGCCTATACGAAATAGAACTCCCTTTTAAAAGGAAGAAACCTCCAGCAGAACCAGGCTCAGGACAAGCGAACATCTGCTTTGACCGGCTAAACCTTTCTTATACCTAGATGTAGCCCCAAATCAAAATGGGAGTCGATACCTCACTTATTTTTCAAGTTATCCAACTCACAAGACAAACAGACTGATGGTCAGAAGGTATTTCCAATTCCCCTCTTTGCTCTGCGTATTGCAACCATTTCCTGCTTATTTTGTCATTCAGCTTCATGTCCAAACCAGTCTGGAATGTAATTTTCAAGTTTCAAGTCATCAGAAACTTGGTTGTGTGTCACACACAACCAAGTTTAGATATTAGAAAAGGAAAAAGAACACTGACACATGAAAAAAACAACTAATCCTCCAATCTGTAGATATCCTAACTGAGAATTTGCCAAGCTAGCCATGAAATATGGAAAACCCTCTGTAAAACAGAACAGAGAGGACCTGAAGAACATTCATTATGTTGGAGTATCTGAAAAAAGTCTCAAAGTATTATTTCAACCATGAGATCCCGGTGAATTTCAAACTGAACAGGACCCTCAGACAGAAGTTGGATCATCTTAAGGACAAAACACCTTCAACAGGTTGGTTACATACACCCCTGCTGAACAGGGAGCAGTGGAGTAAGGGATCTTGAGACTTTTAAGTACTATAAGAGAAACTAAATAGCCTCTCCACAGAAGCAGGGATTAACACAAGAAAACAAGTTCTTCACGACATGACTCAGCTGTACACCTACACATGAAGTCTAAAGACAGCTCCTATGAGGACACTAATGATCATAGTTTGGACAGAGAAGACATGGTTTGAGAGGGGGTGAAGGAAGCCATTGGAACAAGACAAATACAAGATTAAACAAGTAAGAAGGTCTCAAGTTTCAGTTTTCTTAAACTTTCAAAGCCACCTTGGAGCTAGCCCTGCTCTGTTTCACACCAATCCACACCAGAGTCCATATTTCGTTTAGGTCTCTCTTGTAAGAGTCCTCGTGGATCAATGGGACTAACCTGTTTAAATAAAGGTTGAATGAATGAAAATATGATCAATGCACAACACTTTTTTATTGTGAAAAAAAAACACATTTTTCCAAATATGTTTAACTACAGAAGACTGTACTCTTACCTGAAAGCATGTGGGACCTGGTTTGCCCGGTGGTATATCTGCCTGGTAGTAAACTTTCAGTTCTGGCACCAGACCTATGACAGTCATGATTACGAGAGAGATGATGTCCGACCACACCATCTTGATGTCGACACCTTTAGCTCCCAGCCTGTACAGCACACTGGACAGAGTGCGCTTGCTCCCTGTGTTCTGGCTGTCTGAGTGCACAAAGTTTCCACTGTGCACGTTCAGGGAGTAGTTGGTCAGGTGCATGAAGATATGGCTCAGATTCTTCTGGCTGGGTTCCTGCACAAGAACAAAGATCCAAGTGATCCAGATGCCATAGTATATTCAGACATTTTATTTGATCACAATAGTCACCAGCTTTAAAGACCCTCCACCCACAATCCAATCACCATAAGACCTACCTGGTAGGGTTCGGTACAGAACCGTGTCAGGCCTTCCTTGGCGATGTAGATCTCTAATGGCTCCAGGGATTTGATCAACACGTACAGACGGATATCAAACTTGAGTTTGTCGATGAGTAACGGCTTTGAGATGTATTCTTGGACCACGGCTTGTTTAGCCTGAGAACCCACCACGAGCTTCAGATCATTGGGGTCCCGGATCAGGTAGATACCGCACCCCTGAGAGCCCCCATCTGGTTTAACAATGAAGGTGGGGGTCCCTGAGATTTCGTTCTCCTTCCCTAAGCGAATCTGCAGCAGTGGGTGAGCGAGGACCGCATTATAAAAACACTCACCCAAAACACACATCAATGGTTCCTAGTGATGGTGGCACAAGTTTATTTTGTATTCATTCATTTATTCACTCATTCATTCACTCATTCAGTCATTTTTTAGACAGTCGTTTAATGATTTATTCAGACACTCATTTACTCACTCATTCAGTCATTCATGGCTGAGACTCATATTAACCACTTTAACTGACCTCCTGACACTTTGATCAGGAAACTAAACCAAAACTTCAAACGTCTAACAATAGAAACTTCAGTGAGACACTGTTTAAAAACACCCCCGAGTGGCATGAAAAGTTGTAAGACAATTTGCATGACCATGGCATTGTAGAGTGAAACAAAAATGCATTAAAAACTTATCAGTGGCTAAAGACCACCATCTTCTGGACAAACTATGTACTTAATAAAAAACGAAGTATTTAGGAATAATCTTAAATAATGATAAGTACTTTTTCAACCTTTATTGTTGGTGTTCTAGAATTAATTGTTGTAATAAATAATTACAGCAATAATAATAATAATAATAATAATATAACAATAATTAATTGTAGTAATAAATAATGATAAGGGCAGCACGGTGGCGCAACTGGGAGAGCTGCTGCTTCTCAGCGAGCAGGTCCCTGGTTCAAACCCCGGTCCGGGGGCCTTCTGGGTGGAGTTTGCATGTTCTCTCCGTGCATGCGTGGGTTTTCTCCGGGTACTCCGGTTTCCTCCCACAGACCAAAAACATGCATGTTAGGCTGATTGGTAACTCTAAAATTGTCCCTAGGTGTGAGTGAGAGAGTGAATGGTTGTTTGTCTCGTTTTGTCTCTTTGTGGCCCTGTGATGGACTTGCGACCCGTCCAGGGTGTACCCCGCCCCTCGCACAGTGATTGCTGGACATGGGCACCGGCGACCCCCGTGACCCAAAATGGAAGAAACGGGTAAAGATAATGGATGGATGAATAATGATAAGTACTTTTTCAACCTTTATTGAAAAAGTACTTATCATTATTTAAGATTATTCCTAAGTACTTAAGGTTATTTATTAAGTACATAGTTTGTCCAGGAGATGGTGTTCTTTAGCCACTGATAACGTTAGTACTACTGTACTTAATAAATAATAATTTTTTTAATGGATGAACATAAAATGTATTCAAATAAAAACATTCACAATCTAAATTTCACCAGAGAAAGCTAATAATAAATAAGAAATATACAAATTTTATTGAAAAAAAGAGTTAATTATCAAGGCCACCAATGGTTGGCATCAAGCAAAACTCTGTTAAAGGCAAATTTTTAACAGAGAAATATCTGACTAAAGTGGACACTAATTTACTATCAGTGAAAACAGACCTGAGCAGAAAACTGTTGGTACTCTTCAGGTAGGATCCATGAACGGGGATAGAAGTCATATTCCTCTGGGAAAAGTTGCTGCATCGTCCTCATGGCTTTGCTCAGGTTGATCTTTCTCAGCATCTCAACCATCCCTGCAAAAACACCAAACACATCTGAGCAAGAAGGCTCTGGTTGTACTCACAGATAACACTGATTAAACAAAAGCAGTACTTATGTTTTATTGTGAAATCAGAGTCAGAGTTTCTTTATTGTCATTTGCACCTCATGTGGTACATGTGGTGGAGCGAAATTATGTACACAGGGTCCCAGTTACATTCTACAATACAATGTAAAAGAAAAACAGTAATAACATCTAAGATACAGTATGAACTAAGAAAAACATCAACTAAATATACACTAACCACTCATAAAAACATTACGTCGAACATCAGCACAAACATGAACATGAGTCTGTGTGAGCAGATAAGCACGTATGAACACATCAACATTGAAATAGATCAGCAGCAACATGATGTGATTTTTTTCCACATTGATTATTCTGGTTAGAGATTCATGAGTCTAATAGCCTCAGGGTAGAAGCTGTTCCTCAGTCTAGTGGTTCTACACTTGTGCCACTTTTCCACTGTCACAGTGCAGATCAGGTCAGTTCGGGTCAGTTCAGATCGGCTCGGGTCTCGTTGTGTTTCCATATACACTTCTGGACCGGCTCTGTAGGCGGGGACTAGAATCCAACTCGTCTTACCACCTGATGGTGGTAGTGCTCCCTTAACCTATTTACTAGCCACCACTAAACTATTAGAAGAACACCCTGAAGGTTTTGTCACACGATGTTGTGGAAGAGATGTCATGCTCTAATGGAGTACCTCATGAGCTGTAACTTATAAACCTGATTCATAATCCTACCTTACTGCCTTCCCAGCCTGCTTTAAACCCATGTGTTTTCCATTTTAGTATAGATTTCTACAATAAAGATGTATTAAAAATATCTTCACTTTTATTATTTGCAGATATGCACAAGGTTCATGTTAAAATTGCAAAACATCACACTGTGCTGTAATCTTTTAAACTGCTTTTACAATAAGCTACAGACTTGAAAACAATTAAATTAAATTTTGTCCTTAAATTTTAAAGGTTTGTCTTTCATTAAATTTAAAAACATAAATGTATTACTTATTAATCTAAAAAAGTTAAGTCTAGTCCTCTGGACATTCAAAAAACAAAACAAACAAAAAACATTTCTTGTTTATTTATTATAAACTGTATTGTTTGTTTTGTGAATGTCCAGAGGACCAGACTTAACTTTTTATATTTTTCTACCTGGATTATTGAGCCTGCATCAGGATATTACTTAATAAATAGTCAGTTGGCCTGTGCACACCATGGGGTCCTCCTAGAAGTGTTGAAGAGGTGGCTGTTGATGTCTGTGCCTCCCTGGTAAAGATGCTGCTCCCACAACCCTGAAGCGGATGGGTGGATGGATGGATGGATGGATGGATGGACGGACGGATGGACGGATGGACGGATGGACGGATGGACGGATGGATGGATGGATGGATGGATGGATGGATGGATGGATGGATGGATGGATGGATGGATGGATGGATGGATGGATGATGGCCCTGGTAAATCTGCTCCCCCCACAACCCTGAAGCAGAAGAAGATGGATGGATGGATGGATGAATGGATGATGGATGGATGGTGAAGGAGGAGACCATCAAACACAGCAGGAGTGGTCAGTTCAGGTGAACTCCTGCCTGTTTGCTTCAGATCAGCTGTTCAAATCTCTGCAGGTTCAAATAAAAGATGCACCAGGTCTTTCAGCCGAATCTCTCAGGGGTTACAGTTGTACAGCCAATAACTGATAAATGTCCTTTCTGAATTTTTGACTGTTGTTGTTTCACTTCATCCTAGAACCAAAAAATGTATAACATAATAATAGTTGAGCAGATTCTGGTAATCTTTTCTTAGGATTCATTAAAGATCAAATGCAATTGGAAATTCTTCTCAACTTCCAGTATGAATTTAAACAAACACTTTATGCACTTAACATTGTAAAATTTGTTTAGGAAATTTAATGTTCAAGGACACCACTTAAGAAAAAAATTGTTTAATAGGAAAAGTAAGAAGTGAAAAATGTACAAAAATAAAAACTACTGCATCCAACTAATGATTGTGTATCTGTCTGCCCCTTGTTTCACGGGCTTCATCCAGAAGAAGACACAAGTGTTGTTCCTGCTGTGTCCGGTTCAGTTATTCATGTTCATTCAGTGATGAAATAAGACTTTTCTTTACTGGACTCTTTTCTCTTTCTCTTGACTAGAAAGAAGAAAAAGGTGGTTAATTCAAGCTACATACTGTTTTTGAATAAATACATAAAACAAAGAAAGGTGCAGCTAACAGCTATAATAGATATATTAATAATAAGAAACTGATAAAATAAGAAAATGAAAAATAAATTGATTTAAAAATAATGAAAATAACATAATAATAACAATGGATATATGAATCAGAAAGTATTATACATATACAGATATTTTTTATTGTCCTACGCACCACATGTGGTAAATGTGGTGGATCAAAATTATGTACACAGTGTCCCAGTTACATCCAACAATAAAATATAAAATAAAAACAGTAATAAGATCTAAGATATGAACTAAGAAAAACATCAACTAAAAATATGCTAAGCACTAATAGCATAAAAACAATAAACACAATACGCTGAACAGCAGCACGGACATGAGTCTGTATGAACAGATGAGCACGAATGAACACAGCAACATGAAACAGATCAGCAGCAACATGAAACTGATCAGCAGCAACATGAAACAGATCAGCAACAACATGATTATCCTGGTTAGATATTCATAAGGCTGCACAAACTCAAGTTCATGTTGCTGTTTGACGTATTGTTTTGATTGTTTACTGCTATTAGTGCTTAGTGTATTATTAGTAGATGTTTTTTAGTTGATATTTTTCTTAATTCATATCTTACATCTTATTACTGTTTTTATTTTACATTTTGTTGTCTGTAACTGGGACCCTGTGTACATAATTTCATCCCAATTCAGTATTTATTCAACATTTTATTTTTTTACTTTAAAAATAAAATAAAAGCAAGTCCATATCGGCACAAATAAAGTGATGTGGAACATGTTGCATCTGTTCTTACCAAGCACAGAAGGCTGCAGCGTTGTGCTGCTCCGTCAAGTGCAGCTGGGCTGTGATGGAGCTCCGTCAGGTGTAGACTCCTCTGATGGAGCAGGAGCAGAAGCCGGGAGGCTTGGCGGGTTTAATGTGGAGTTTAGAGATGAACCGTCATGCACTGAAATACGTTCTGGACAAAATACAGTGAGAAACAGGACCGGAGGACAGTTAGTGTTTATGCAAATTAGCTTAGCATCGTAGCACCGATGTTGTTTTATTATGGCGTCAGCCTCTTTTGTTAGTTAAAAATATGTTCAGAACCGATGGGATGAGTAACTTAAAATATGTTTAAAGTTAGAAAACACTCACCATCTGCTATAAATGATTCAAGTAGAGCAGTGGCCGTGTCCAAACCACCCTCCAATTGCTCCATCTAGCTCGATTTGACTTTTTTCGTCGGCCACCAAGCACAACAACACCTGCACTTCTGCATTTGACCACGGCTTTGACATTATTGTTTTTGTATAGCTTCAAAAAAGATACGCTCCTCGAGTTATCGCTAATAGAAAGCGGGAGAGAAAAAATGGCGGATCGGGTTGTTTGGAAAGACTACACAGGCTCCTCCCCTTAACCAATCAGTGACCGACAGTGTTTCTGACGTCATGGCTCGGCTCGCTTGGACCCCTTGAGAAGCCGGGCCAGAATTTAGGGAGGCGAGCCGGTCCCAGGAACAGTGGAAAAGACCTCAAACGCACATCAAGCCGGAAATATCCGACCCGCGCCATGACAGTGGAAAAGGGGCATTATTGCTCCTCAACCTCCTTCCTGAGAGGAGTGGGGCAAAAAGTGTGTGTGCTGGGTGAGTGGGGTCCTTCATGATGCAGGTGGCCCTCTTCCTGCATCTAGAGGTGTAGATGTCTGTGATGGTGGGGAGACTCCGACAGACTTCTTTGCAGCCTTCACCACTCTCTGCAAAGCTTTTCATTCTGCAGCTGTGCAGCCTCCATGCCACACGTTGATGCTGGAGCACAGGATGTTCTCCACTGCACACCTGTAGAAGGAGGTGAGGACTGAGCTTCCCAGACCAGCTTGTCTCAGCCGTCTGAGGAAGTAGAGTCTCTGATGAGCTTTTTTGATCAGGCTGGTGGTGTTGTTGCTCCAGCTGAGGTTGTCATTCATGTGTACACCCAAGTACTTGTAGCTGGAGACCACTTCCACCGCAGATCCTCTTATGTTCAGGGGGGTGTAGGTGTTTTTGTTCCTTCTGAGGTCCACAATCATCTCCTTTGTCTTCTTCACATTGATATGAGAGTTATTCTCTTTGCACCAGCTCTCCAGGTGTTCCACCTCTTGCCTGTATCTGAGCTCATCATTGTTTGTGATGCATCACACCACCGCTGTATCATCTGCAAAATTTACAATGTGACAGCCTGGATGGGTAGCTGCACAATTGTACGTGAGCAGAATAAACAGGAGGGGGCTCAACACACATCCCTGAAGAGAGCCAGTGCTGAGGGTTATGGTGGAGGAGGAGAAGTTGTGGATCCTCACTAACTGTGGTCTGTTTGTTAAGTCTAGTACACAGTTGCAAATGGAGGGGCCTAGTCCTAATGTGAATAGTTTGTCTATCAGGGTTTGGGGGATCATGGTGTTGAAGGCGTATGTGAAGTCCACAAAGAGCATACGGATATAAGAGTTTTTCTGCTCCAGGTGGTTGAGCGCAGTGTGGACCACAGAAGAGATGGCATCCTCTGTTGATCGGTTCTCACGGTATGCATACTGATGAGGGTCCTCATTGATGTTGATGGTTGTTTTGATGTGAGTCATGACCAGTTTTTCGAAGCATTTAGCAACTATCGGGGTGAGGGCCACTGACCAATAGTCATTCAGACCAGTCACTGTAGAGCTTTTTGGGACTGGGATGATGGTGGCAGTCTTCAGGCAGGTGGGAACTGTCTCCAGGGTAAGTGAAGTGTTAAAGATG